GAGAGATGTGCAAAACTTCCTCCAAGTCACCTCAGGCCAGAGCTGGAGAGAAGCACACGTTGGTTTATGACCCCTCTGCTACTCGGGAGAGCGTGACCGTAGCCAAACCTCAGGTGCACGTTGGACAGTTACTATCCCAGGGACAAGCAGAAAAAACTAAATCTCTAGAGCTTTGAAATCCAGCCATTCAAAACAGTGTTTGCTACTGCTTTTAATGGGCAGTTCCTATAAGCAACACCAAATTCTCTCTCTCTTTTTTTTTTTTTTTTCTTCTTGGACAGACATTGCTTTTAGAGCCATGAGTGTTGCCTTTTGTCTATCCACGTTCACATTCTATGTTTTTGGTAGACTTTCAGGAAGGAAAATTGCAGCTGTAGTGAAGACTGGTGCGCATAGGCAGATTCTGCCTTATATTTTGAAGCATAAGGAAGGTGTTCCAGTCGGGGTCACGGTAGATGCCCTGGCGTAGCCCGTGTCCTCCGGAGCGCAGGGATCGCGTCCGACCGCCTGCGTCTGCAGCGTTACGGCCGGTCAGTGCGGTGGGATGGGAGCTGTAGACGCAAGCGTGCGAGTTGTGGGGCTGTGACAAGAGGGTTCTGGAGGATTTGGCTGCTGAGCACTTTGCAGTGACTTTCGGAGGAGCTGCAGCTCCGTTCCGTGGGCTTTCCCTTCTAGGCAGTTCTGCTGTAGGTTAATGCTGCTCTTCCAGACGGCCACACAGCAAAATCTCACCAAGATCAGGGAGGTTTTCTGAGCTGCAAAACAGGGGTGGAAAAGGCTGTTCCCAGTTGTCCAGCGTCCGCCAGGCAGCGCGGGTGGGCCGGGGTGTCCCTTGCTGCAGGTGATGAAGCACATTTTATTATTCACGTCTCGACAGGGCTCTTGCTGCAGATGTGCCAAACTCGTAGTGTTTCTTCCCGTCCTGGCTCTCACTGCGATTTTCCAGGTCCCGAAAGGCTCCTGGCTGCCCGCGGGCGCTGCCCTTGTGCTGCGGGCCCGCCAAGCCCGGGGCCCCGGGGCCCATCCGCTGCTGCGGGGGGGCCCGCCGGAGCGGCCGGCCCCGGGGCAGCGGGCCGGGCTGCAGAGCGGCCCCATCCGGTGCCAGGGCTGTGGCCGGGTGACACCGGGGACCTCCCTTGGGCACAGCCCGTCCTCGGGCCCGGCGATCCCTGGGACTCGCTTTGCTCACTGCTGCTGGGAAAACAAACCCACACGGGGCATGGGATTGCCTTGGTGTGCTATAAACACGTTTGCGGGCCGGTGAGTAGGTAGCACGAAATACTGAGTACTTGGTGCTAAAAAACGCTTTATCCGAGTTGCGATCCGTAAAAACGGCTGCTGTTGCCGTCCAAAGAGCCGCTGGGGCTGTCGGGGCCGCGCTCCGGAGCGGCGCCGTCGGCTCGGGAAGGGCAGGACGGAGCGCGGAGCTCTGCGCTCCCCGCGGGAGAACCGTGTTGGCGAGGAGGGAAATCCCCGGAGGCTGCTCCTCTCGGGCAGCTGGAGCGCTGGACCCCCCGCTCGCTCTGCTCACGCGTTTCCGCGCTGCGGCCGGTTGAAATCACCTCCTTATTTTACTGTCCCCCGCAGCAGGTGTCAGCGATGCCGTCACTTTAGCTCCAAAACGTCCCCGCTCGAAATAGCTACGGAGGAAGGACTATCTTGAGCTGTACAGTAGAGAGTAAATACTGCTAGTTGTGTTGATTAATGTAAGAAATGAGTCAATTCTACGAATGAAAAAGATCTGAAAAACATATTTTGAAAAAGCATAGTATTAATTTTAATATTGTAAAAAATGGAAAGATAGCTAAAATATACAGAGAACATATGTATATCCAAGTGTCTGAGAATTTCAGGATGATCTACTTCTGTTTTCTGTTCCTTTCTCTTCCATGGTGTACATATTGTGTGGATTGGACATTGGCTGTTTTAATACTATTGTTAAATTGTATTTTTATTTTGTGTTAAACTAATCATCACAGACTCAGCTTTATTTTGTTTATGTAAAGGTTGCTATTCGATGTAGGTATAAAACCAAGAATTCTATTTTAACGAAAGAAAAAAACATTTTATATTATTTATTAAATACGTGTTTCTCCAACTTCGGACATTCCATAGAGTTTCTGCTCCGTATCTGTATAGCTTGTTTGAAGAAACGGCAGTTCCTTTCACATAGGATCAGTCAACTTTATTCTGTTTTTCATAATAAAGTCGGACTAATTTCAGTCACTCTCCCGTTTACCACTTTATTCTTAGCACATGGGTTTTGATGCATTTCTAGGACCATCTCTGAGTGCAGGGGCTCGTGAATGCGGAAGCAGCTCTGAGGTGCTGGGAGTGACGCTCCCCGCGGGCTGATGCTTCCACCTTTCCCCTTCATCCCGTGGCAGCCGGAGAGGGAGGCTCCATAGCCAGGAATGGGGTGAGTTGGTGCTGGTGGAAGGGGCGGCCGCGGGGCTCCTGGGAGGAAGGGGAGCGAGCGGAGGCGCCTGGAGCGGCGGCAGAGCCGCGGAACCCAGCGCTGCTGTGTTAGACCCGGTGTTTTTCACGGAAAAGAGATGATTTGTCCCTAAAAGCCGAGGTTGCAGCCTGGGAAGGCAGGGCCTTGTCTGGTAGGGAAGAGCCGGGTCCAGCTCGTCCCACCGCTCCCTGGGGCAGCGGCTCCGGCCCCATCCCTGGGAAGCTGCATCCATGGGAAGGGCATCCAGGGCAGAAACGGCAGCGGCTCCGTTGGGCAGCTCCATCCCTAAAAACGGCAGCAGCACCAGCCCTGGCTCTGTGCGCGGGGACCCCGCGGCCACGCGGGACCCACAGGAGCCGGCGCCTCCTTCCCTCTAGCCCTCCCTTCCCCTCTTCCCACCTCCCTGCCCGTCCCGCTGTGGAAAACCG